CACTTCTCTTTCTCCTAATCCCACCTAATATCACCCATCCACCTATTTAAACAATTCTATGTTCTCATTTGCTCAAATTTCGCCTAAGAGTGTGTTCTTCCAGTGCTACACTTCTCTTTCTCCTTATCCCACCTAATATCACCCATCCACCTATTTAAACAATTCTATGTTCTCATTTCTACAAATGTCGCCTAAGAGTGTGTTCGCCCACGTTGATTCATTGAAACCACCGATTTCAGATGCTTCCAAGTCATGCTTTCATACTTTCCATCGACCTTTCTCCTCCCGCCCAATTGTCAGTTCTTTTCTGATTCACATAAACCCATTGCCTGGCTCTCCTTAATCTGGCCGTCTATCAGCTTACGTCATATTTCATGATTCAAAACCGTTTATTCTCGGGCCTCTTTCTTCACCTTCGGCTTCGGACACAATAACCCAGCTATCCAATATGTCATCCCCACCCAACTTCTTTCTTCTTCTATGAGGCCGTGCGTATGGCTTGATTCAGAACCGTTATGATGTGAACATTTCCCCGATTCCATTTACTCATAAATCTCGCAAAACCTACTCCTCTTATCTCTCAAGTCGAAAATCCCTCCTAATCATAGGGTTCTAGTCAGCTTCATAGTCAGAAATGGGAAGAGTGCCCTCCAACTGCTAAAACATACACGAAAAATGCGCACAAGTACACACAAATGCACGCACTAGGGACCAACTCATATTGTGCTCCCCAGCTCGGTTGCTACAAACCCATGAATTTGAAATAGGCCTAGATTTTTAGCCTAGCAATAGACCCTGTTGGTCCACAGGTTCTTGACGTCAGTCAGCCTAAATTGCATCGGATGATGTAGCACCGACTTTAGAATTTCCTCAAAGTGTCTCACACTTCAATCATACTTCACTTGATCTTGCTTTCCAAAAAGGTGTCCTCGTACACGCTTGATTGGACTATGCTGTAATGCATGTATGGTTGATCTTAACGGAAGTCGAAACCGTGTACCGATTGGGCCGCATAAATTTTTTTGACAGGTTGATCACGGATATAATATCAGATTTTTTATGGTGAGATTGTTGATAAGGTAATCTTGTATTCTCAGATATGATAAAACATTAAATTCCCAAAAATTCTTTTATGATTTATTATGACATGACTTTCAAATGTGAAGGAAAAGTTGGCTGGAAGGAATTCGTGAAACTGGAAAGGGAAGACTTTTGGATTTTACGAAGAAGTTCTCAGCTCACCGTCCTGCGATTCCGATGAACCATTCTTAAACTTCTGTCTGTAACGCCTTGACAGACTGCGACAGAGCAAGAATCTATACTTTGCCAAATAGCGCAAAAAATATACCAAATCGAGAGAAATGGTGGTCGGCTGCAACCTAAACCGCATTTGTTATCCAACAGTCTTCACTCCGATGCGATCCTCCATCGGTTTTCGATGAGACCATTTCACAAATTCCTTCACACCAATTGTTTCGTTGAAATGGTAAGTCATTACACAATCCTATATTCTGTCAGCGCAATCTGCTATGCTACTTGCATTAATTGCAAGTAGGCTTTGAAACTATTCGTAATTTTTGTCGTAAACAATCGTTGAATCTTAAAACTTTGTTTACAGTTCTCGAGTCAACCTCTGAGGTGCTTGTCCAAGAGGCGAGCATTTCTCAGGCAGCCTCAAAGCCGCGTTTTCGTCCTGTCCTTGCCGGAGGATCTGCCTTGTCAACAAATGCGAATTCTAGTCTGATTTCAACCGTCAAGAGTCGAGATTCCCGCCCTCACCCCTTCCTCGAACTAGCCCCTTCACTGGGCTCGAGTCCAAGCCAAAGTCCCACACGGCGTCTCTGCGCTGAGTGCCGAGCGATTGGCGGCGTCTGCTATGATGCCGACGAAAATGGTGAACCCGACGGCTGTCGTTGTCCCGTGGACTGGATCGGTGGGACTCGATCCCTTGACGCCAGTTTGGCTGTTGAAGCCTCGTCCGAGTCCTCGGAAACTCGGTGGCCTTTTGCTAAATCCTTCTTCAAAAATGCCACCGAAAACCCCAGAGTTCAGACGATCGTGAATAAGGCTGCTTTGTCGCCTTCTGGAGGACACAAAGTAGGTCAGAAGAGGCCAGAAGAGAGCACTATCGAGGGACCAGCGAGAGAGGGATCGAGTAAAAGACTGAGATCTGGAGGACTCAAGCTTGCAGACACTGAAGAACCGAAGGACTCGGTCACCGGAATGGCAAAAAGTCTATCCTCTGTTTGCGGCCGGAAAGCAGGTAGGCAATTTTTACCTGATTTAAGTAGTATTTTGAGACTGTCAGTAGATCTTCAATATGAGCCTTAGTAGGCCTAACTAATTTAATATTAGAGTAGGGTTTCAAGACTACCAGTAAATCAGTAATATGAGATTGATTCACCCTATTTTGTCTAATGTGATGAAGGATTGGTAGTAGAATTTTCCCACAATGATATGAGTTGAGCTGACGTTTTCAATGAATTTCACATAGCCTTACTTTCCCAAAAGTTGTTATCATTCAGGGTGGACTGCAGTTTCGACCTTGCATCGGTCTTATCCACACCCTCAGCGGGAGGTAGGTAATTTTTTACTGATTTAAGTAGTATTATGAGACTGTCAGTAGATTTTAAATATGAGCCTTAATTTCGTGTACAAGTGTCTGATGTAGAGACTCGGTGGCAGATAACGGTTGATTCCTATTATTCTACAATCATTTGTTGTCACTACGATGTTTAGAATGTAGTGGTCCATGCGACCTTTTCCTCCCGTCGTGCATAAAATGGACTGAGTATTTATCCTTCACTCAATCAAAGGTCATTACAGCTGAAGTTTAATCTTACAAAATCTTCAAGCTGGCAGCTCCAAGTCAAAGAAACTAACTGGCTCTGCCTTAACTTTTATTCATACTCTTGGCTAAAATAATGTTGAAAATATACAGGTACATATAGATAGATATGGAATCTACCTACTTTTGGTAGTGTAGGTGTGTGTGTTTGTGTGTGTATGGCTGCATTTACGCGTTTGTCATTTATGGTATATATATCACACATTCATCTATATACTTTCATTTCATTTTATTTATGAGCAGCTAGCCCTCTTGAATACGAATAAACATGAAGCTTTGGTAATCTTGTCATCCAGCTCTGACAATGTTCGCTATTATACTCGAACTGAAGGAAGATGTCTCGTGGACTGCATCAATCTGAACGACTGCAGAACAACGGGTATCAGCCGTTGTATTTCCATGTGATTGATCTATACATCTCTTTATCTTAGACTTTCATACGAAATGAAAGTGTTTACAACAATGGCGTTTCATGCGATCTATCGAAATTCTATTACATTTGGTATGTATCAAATGCCTATATATTTAGTTGTTTTCGCGTTTGTGTTGATATTTTTGTGTGCATGTGTAAGTACGTTTGCCTCTAAATTCTAAGCAAGAGAAGTGGCATTCAAGGAATGGGTGAAGGAATTTGATTTATAGATTAATTGCTTGATAAAGAGGGTGATAGAAAGCCACACATAAAAAGAAGACGACTCAGCCTGAATGCCGTAGTAAAAGTGAATCGAGACAGAGTAACCGAAATCCGTCATCGGTTTTTAGTATAATCGAACTGCAAATCTTCTATTTTACCTTTGTTTTCATGCAAAATGAACGTTGCCACAAAAAATATTTGCACTCGGCTCCACTCGGGCAGAACTATGTTGGTTACGACTTGAATAGATCTTGCTCATGCCTCAAGACGTCAATGCCTTAGGACTCGGAAAGCAAATGTAGACAAGCCAGTAGGATGCAAGTTATTCTTGAGGTTTCAAGATTTTGTGTGGATGAACAAGCACCACAAAAGTTCTTGGTACCTTCGAGAAAAATTGAACCCCATATTGTGAGTCGGTTTACATTCTTTAAGCTTCATGAGCCCGAGGCTCAGATCTTTTTTACTTGTCCATTCTGCCCGACAAAATCGATACACGAATTGCTCGACCCCAAATTTATTACTATTTAAGAATCTGCATCTGTTCGCTTTGTTTTAACCCTACTGCCGGCATACAAATAAATTATTTAACATCAAATAGAACTAGCCTAGTATTTTTATCATCATTATTATCATTTTTTAACACTTAAGCCTATTCAAAATCGTAAAGTGTTTTGCACAAAGCTGAGTGATACAAATCGAACAATGAATGGTATCTTTATTCTGAAGCTAATATTAGATATTCAATTTCATTGATGTGAAAGCGAATTTATACAGTAAACGACGTCTTACTCGGAAGATACATTCAAGTAATAGATATGCATTGTCAGGACTGAAAGAGAATTTTTTTAAGTGTAAATATTATAAATTATCTTCATCGAGACTTAGGCCAAGTTGCAAAGGCAGGCTAGGAGATGAAGTAAATGAGAAAGTGTGAAA